AATTTTCACTCGATTTTTCCTCCACTTGACTTCAAATGACACAAAACACACGTAATAACACGAATCAAAATGCATCATCTTCCAAAATGCAGGGTATTTGACAAAAGTTGATAAAAAATTATAACCTATAGTTTGACAAGACTTTCAATCACTTCATCGTTCCGTCAAATCAATAAAATTGAAATACGATCTGTCAATTTTGAAATAAACCAATAAAACCTGTTAAAAACAACAAGAGACGACGTATGACGGATTTATATTTAAACACATCCATAGTTAACTTAAAAATCATTAGAAACTTTTTTTTGTAAAATAAATAGATTGATATGGGACGTCATCTGCTTTTCTTCTGCCATCGTCTGTCGAAATCTTACCTGAGAAAAAAACAGAGTATACCTTGACATTAGCTTTACACTAGTGTGTAAAAAAAAAGACTTTTAATTCAGTATATAGTACAATAAATAGCTACTTTTTGCACGATCGTAGAAAAAAAAGTCATTTTAACGCCTATGTATAAAAGTAAAGCATTTTTTCACTTAAGCATAAAAGTACGAAAATTTATTATTAAATTGATATAAAGTGTCAAATTCAAAGAGCCTAACCACATAGTTTCTCGATATACGGGTGTCCCAGAAAAACGTGCAAGTATTTTAACTGGTAGTATAGTTCAACCCCAGAAACACGCCTGAGGTTTTTTTCGCGAAAAAAAAAATTGAAAAATCGGAATTTTTTGAAATTTTTTTTGGATTTTTCTTTAGTTTTTATTTAAAAATAATAATTTCTTGATAATATGGCAACATAGGTAGTAGATTAAATTTACAAGAAAGAAAATCCAGAAAAGATCCAGTGGTTCTGAAAATTTTAGCAAAAAATCATTTTTTTGGAAATTTTCAAAGTAAAATAACTCCGTTATTTTGGACTTATTTAAAAAACGATAAAGAGAAAATATGTTTCTTTTATCGAGATCTACCACCCCTTAAAATACTTGCACTTATTTCTGGTACACTCTGTATAATTACATACAAGGTACGACTTTTAAACTTTTTTATATTATTTGGAACGTTTGAAATTGTTTAAATATTTGAAATTGGAAAAATATTTGTGGCGTTTGAAAAAAATAGCATGTTTTATTCGGAGTAAAAATGACTTTTGGTGCCCTGTCTGTCATGTCAAACGTACAGCGTCGCCAAAAAAGTGTCATTTTTACTTTTAATAAAACAATATACTATTATGTATTAGTAAATTACTGCTAAAAAGCTGGTCTCCGTTGGATAAACGCAGCAGTGTTTCCAAAAAATAACTATTTTATTTTGTAGATTTTTTACAGTGTATACCTACTATTACAGAAATACTTACCCATAGGACTTTTTAGAATAAAATGATTAAATAACTAAGAAAATATCTTTCAGGTACGGTTGTCTATCTAAATTTAAAAATTCCAAATTCGAAGTTCTTTATACACGCCCTGTGCGACCGTTCCCTTTTACATATTTTTCTCATCACTTATACATCTCCGTATCGAATGGGAAATGTCACTGGAAACTGCTCATAATGACTTTATTTGTTAGCAAACACTTTGTAGAAGCCGACACAACATTTCAATTGGAACCGAGGGAACGGTCGGTTCGGGGTGGTTTTGGGCATTTTTCGGCTCGGAGAATACAAATCGTGAGGTTGTTTATGTTAGATTTTGGGAGAGAACATGTGGGTCCTGACATGGAAGCGTTCAGAAAGTAATGACAAAGAATGTATTTACTTACCCTTACATTCCGTCAGAATAGGGGTTGACTGCAAATTTACCTACTTTTAAAATTGCCGGTAAACGGTAACATGACACATGGAATTACTGTTTTTTTTCTTATCAGAACCAGCAAAAAAATATGAAAACAAGCTTTATTCAATATTTTTTTTTATATTTATTTTCAAGCAGCATTTTCAAATATTTCCTCTAATTTCTTCTTACTGAAAATATTGCATTTTTGTTTTCAAGGTTTGGGTAATAACCATACCTAGATGTTATTTATTTTATAGCTGGTTAACCTTGATTAGCTGTTGCATTTTTCTTAGTGAAAGAAACATATTTTCCTTAATCCACGATAGAGTTTCTGCTGATGTTGAAGGAACCGGCGCGGCGCCGGCGTATATACCGGGTGGGTCTTAAAAAATACAAATATTTCAGGGCTGGTAGATCTTGATATTATGATTTTTTAATAAAAAAAATTCCAAAAATTTTAAGTCTTCAGTTAGCTTTCGAAATATGACTTAAAATCAAATGACTTAAGTCATTAAAATGTTTTAAATAAATAAAAGAAAAGTTAAAAAAGTTAAACAAGAAAAAAGATTTAAGTTTTCTGTCACCTTGCAGTTCTGATAATAGTCTACCGGGTGCGTTTCAAAAGTGGCTGACCCCTATAACTTTTTTATTTTTTCAGTTAAAAAAACGAGATTTGGTATGTTAGTATATGACATAAATTAGGATTGACTGACTTATTCAATTGTTTTCGGTCACTTCCTGTTTCACCGGAAATGACTACAACTTTTGATTTTTAAATGGAACCCTCGGTATTTATTTACTTTATTCAATAGAAAATAACACTCTGAATAGACTGACATATCATATGTCAACTTTTGACATTTTCGCATATGGTTTATTTGAAATTATAACTAGCGGTTCTTTACGAAAATTTGACTCGAAATACCAAGTGTGTGCATGGTATTAAATTATTCGTAACCTAACCTAACCTTCGTTCCATTTCAAAAAATTGAGATACTTATGACTAAATATACGACTTGAGCATTTTCTAACTGGCCAGGACAAGACGTTAAAAGCATTAGATGATCAAATCTATTTTTCCAAGGTTCCTTGATTAAGGATTAGTGTTTTTAACATAGCCATGGCACTCTAGATTTAATTTTAAAATACGATTTTTTATTAAGCGAGAATGTCAAAAGTTGACATAATATGATGTGTTCAATTCAAAATGTCATTTTCTATCGAATAAAGCAAAAAAATACCGAGGGTGCCATTTAAAAATCAAAAGTTGTAGTCATTTCCGGTGAAACAGGAAGAGACCAAAAACAATTGAATAAGTCAGTCAATCCTAATTTATGTCATAGACTAACATACCAAATCTCGTTTTTTTATCTGAAAAAATACAAAAGTTCTAGGGGTGAGTCACTTTTGAGACGCACCCGGTATACGTATAGTAATCGCAAACCATTTTCCGATGCACGTCATCAATCATATTGACATTGACACTAAGTCCTAAACCTGATTAAATGAAATTTTGGCAAAAATGTTTAAATTTGTTTAAGATAACGAGCAGTTCTTCATTTTACTTTATAGAGCAAATGATTGTAACAGATATTTTATTTAGATTAAAGCTGCAAAAGTTTAAACCAAATTTTATTATCGCTATATTGGTCACATTGCGCCGTGTTCAGCAATGTTGTCCTTTATTATTTGACAATTATCTTAGTCAGTCTTATATTATCAGTCATTATTTTGTATAATATGTTGTTGAATCTTTATGAGTAATTCTCGTTTTTTGCGTATTTTCATAGTCTTTTTTAAAAATTGCACTTTTAAGCACAAACAGTCATTTAAGAACTCAATTTTCGAGTTTTTATATTGCATTTCTTGAAAATATGCCGAAGCATTTAAACAGTCGAAGCAAAGAGCTTGTAGCTTTCCTGTTTTTTTTAACTATTTTGAACGAGAACGTGACAATAAAGATCCTTTATTACCCTTGAGTGCAATCAGAAAAGTAAGTTTGATTGATAGGCACATTATACCACTTTCAAAGTTAGTTTTTATTAAATTCTGTGATTATTAGTTTGTACATTAATAGCAACCTCTTGTTATTACCACTTACGGCATTGTAATGTACATTAATAAATAAATCAAGCGAATCGCTCGTCGCTTGCTACTTGCCATTCATCATCGAAAGGATATGTGCTCTGCGCAAGCAACTTACTGCTTGGCGTTACGAGTACAACAAGCGGGCGAAAAACCGTGCGATATTTCGCTCGAGCGACCGCTCGATTATTGAAATCGCTTGAAATTCGAGTACTCGATTATAGAAATTAATCGGTTTTTTCCATCACTGCTTTTTAGAGTCTGAGTTAGTTATTTAAACAAAATTTCTTTTTTCATTTTATATGTAAAATAGAAAACAAATTTCTTGCAGTATAGGTATATAATAAAATTATATAAAGATTCTTGCCACTTAACTGCTGATATAGAAATCTAATTCTACGCTGTGTTTGTCATAATATGGATCATGATGCTTATATAATTTTATTTATATGTAAATTTATATGGGAAATGTCAACTATCGTCATTTCCCAGCCAACTGGACGCCGTTTTTTTTCAATCATACGGTATCACTACCTACATCACAAAAAAAAATATTTTTTACAAGAGATTATGACAAGGTCACTCCCAAGAATTTTAGGAACAATCTGATCAATATTGAGTTTCATATGATACTTAAAAATGATTCATATAGAATTATTACATAATTAAATAATTATATATTTATCAACAATAATTTAAAAAATATTGTTTATGACTGGAATTATATCCTATCTAATTTCATTTATTCTAATAAAATATATAAAGTTATTTTATCTTAATCTATAATTACCTATATAAATGAGATTAACGTAAGAATTTCTGGTATTTACTTATGAGTAATTTTATAAAACTATACCTATACCCAATACATCGCGAGCCAAACTTATAGTTGAACATTCGTAAAATTAATATTTTCTTTATATTTGCATTGTATAGATAATAATATAGGGTAATATTTTATTATTATATTATATATAAAACGCTAATATTAACTAAAATATCACATTTGTTTATAGCTTGCAGCAAAAGCAAAAAATATTGTGGCCTCTGTGTATATAGAAAAATATTTAGAAGTATGTCCCTCAAAAATGTTCTTAAATTTATTATTGTAAGCTTTAATCCAAACATGTCAATATTTAGACCTGGCAATCGTTTGTTAACACAACTTCAAATTCAGTTTGAACTTCATACTCACAAGTTTAGCATTGTAAGGCAACATGTCTAAATTACAAGTTTTACTAACTCTTACTTTACTAGTTGGTAAGTCTTTTTTTTTATTTATCATATTACTTTTCCATGATACCATTACACAGGGTATCCCAGAAATAAGTGCAAGTATTTTAACTGGGAATATAGTTCAACCCAAGAAAAACACCTATGAGGTTTTTGTCGCGAAGAAAAAAATTGAAAATTCGGAATTTTTTGGAAAATATTTTGGAATTTTTTTTAGTTTTAACACAGATAACACATAATCCAGATGGCCATTGCTTACGGAACAGCATGTTTTCGATGAGACAGTTCCCTATTAATGATACAGAGGGCGCCTATAGCCAAATCTAATAATATTTTTAAAACGAACGAATTTGGAGCCACACCACGGCCACGCGATGTGAAGCCACGTAGCCGGTTGTTCACATTTATAATCAAATTCCCGGTCAAACCCAGGGAAAATGTATATTCGGACTTTAATACTAGACAATTGGATATGAAAATACTAGTCGCAGTGGATGTTTGAAAGTCAGAATTTCTAGATGCATATATATGCTATTTATAGCCATGAAATTTATAATTTAGATTTTATTTTTATTATTTGTCTCTTAATATTCATTATTTTAGCCACAGCTAAAAGTCAGGCTGATCACTGCCACTTCTGTAGCTCTGAAAGAGATGGACTGCCATGTGAAGAACCAATAGACTCTAGCAGGATCCAAGTCCAAAGGTGTTCTGATCTAGAGGTAGCATCAAATTTAGAATCACTTCCCGCTTTTGATAATTCGACCAGTAATACTCAAGAAGCTCAAGTGTGTATTTCAATATCATACACTTACTGTAAGTATGTAAAAGAAAAATGAACTATTAAAATCCAAGCAACCATATCTATTACAATCGATAGCTAGAAGTGGGTATTCTTACTTTTGTGTATTCTTCATTTAAAGTTTATGTTCTGTTATCTAAAGCCGCGTCCACGACCTAGCGAACGCACATGAACACATAGATAATAATAAGACTAACAACAACTTTCTTAAATTGTCACTTCTTTTAATGTGATTTCCTGTGGACTAGGGTGAGCCAAAAAAACTAACCTATGGAATTTATGGGTTAAAATGAACCTAATAACCCAAAAAAAAATATCCCCGGAAGGCAGGATTTTTAGCTCAATTTTAAAAGGTGTCGGTGAACATTCAAAGTTTTCCATTAAAATAACACGTAAATAATCTTTTTCCATTAAAAGTACTATAACTTTGGAACAGTTTACGATAAAACATTTTATATATCGCGGATTCTTGTAGAGCATAAAATTTCCTAAATAATCTATCTGAGAGTAATTATTTTCAATTCAATGCTAAATATGAAAATTTTTAATCAATAAACACTTAAACTGCATATTTTGATTTTTTTCACTTTTCAAAGCTTTCAAATATACGAATTATTAAACACCTTTTAAAATTGAGCTAAAAATCATGCCCTCCGTGGATATTTTTTTCTCGGTTATTAGGTTTATTTTAACTAGGGAATGCAATCCCGCAAATGCGGGATCCCTCTAAGATTCCGCGGGATCAAAGTTGCGGGATTTACCGTGCGGGATCCGCGGGATCGACACATTACTACTGGGTACTGGGTAACCGAATCGATCGCGATCAAGGTTAAACCGCTTCGTTCCGGGCCGATTCGTTCCGGCTCGGAACCCGGGGGATTCCCCTTACGACTTGGCCATTAAAAATAAGTGAAACAAATAGGTTAGTTGTTAGATTTCTTTCTGGCATGTTTCTGGCGTATGTGTGTAAGTGAAGAAAAGCGTTTAACTAGTACTTGTGGACAATTTCGTCGGACATTACATTTAGCGAATTCTCGTATACAGGGTGTTTTATAAGAGTGTGAAAATTTGGTCAAGAATCTTTTTTACCGCAAATATACAATTTTTAAAAAATCGAAATTTTTACCAAGTACCACTAATCTGTATTGAAATTAGAAAAAACAATTTGATAGGTTTTTTAATTTTTTTTTGTTTTAAGGAAAATATGAAGTTTTTTCGAAAAATATGCATTTTTAGTCATACGTATGGTCCTAAATATATATAGTAGTATACATTCTGAATATGCCAAAAAATTATTGATATGACACCATGCGTCGTCTTATGGAGTTTGCTGGTGGTCGTATTATGATGTGCAACCAAAGTTATTTTAATTTCCTTATAAAGTGTATCTAAAAGCAGATAACTAACACAAGTTAAAAAAAAATCAACATCAGAATAATATTTTTATATATAAAATAAGTAGATAAATTATAATAAAATTTAAGTTTATTTAATATTAAATATATTTTTTGAACACCCTGTATACATCGGTCCAAATTTCTGTAAAGCTTAAGAGTTTACAGTTTAAGATACACGCTATATCAATATATTGTGGGTCTATGCAAAATGTACAATGCCTTTTGTACCATTTAGGATCAAATGTATGACTATTGTTTACAGTCCCGCAATTTTGCGGATCCGCGGGATTAACTGATTTAATCCCGCCGGTTTGAGGGATTGAGATTTTGGTGCGGGATTGCATTCTCTAATTTTAACCTATAAATTCCATAGGTTAGTTTTTTGGCCCACCCTACACCCACAGTACACCCACACTCTTAACTTCTAACCACGGAATGTGCTGTTAATTTGACGAAATATGGCCTGCAACCCAGGATATCGAGATTTGTGCTCTTATTGTATTTGTATAATGTAGTAAGTATTTAAAAGCCTCAAATAACTTTAGAATATACTAGTAAGCTGTTAATAATAATTTTTTATTGGTTTTAGTTGACAGAACCGTATTCATCAGAGGCTGTGATGCAGCAGAAGCGACATACCTCTCAATGCACTTTGATGATATTTGCAATTATTACTATACAATCTATCCGAGTTATTTGACAAATTTTACATGCACATCTTGCGAAGGAGATTTATGTAACGCTGTAAGGCCCGTTCAAATAACAGAAGAGGGTGATGATGAAAAACCAAGCAGTGCAGACATTATGTCGATTTCTGCACGATTTATTATCATTATGGCGTTGGCACTTATTATGCTTTGAACTTAATAAAATAAATAAAAAAAAACTTTATTCTGGGTCTATTTAAATTTTCCTTCTATACAGGGTGAATCTTAAACAATATCTCAATTGTCCTTGGGTATCTTCAGGATTTGGCACTTTATGTTCAACTGTCCGAGAATCATTAAATATTTCATCATCAGATAAAAAAAAATAAAAAAAGTTACCTTGGATTTAAAAAAACCAGTTTCTGTAGATTTCTCGAGGTAAGCAGAATAACATATAATAATACCTAATTGTAGATATTTTTAATTAATTTACTCAATTTTTGACCGCTTTGCCGACACAGAACATTAAAATAGTCCATATGATGCCTTTAAAAAAATCAGAGAAAGTTACAATGAATTCTTCCTCCCCTATTTGTTGTACGGCTACCAACATGTCTCATGGTTCACCCATTCAGAATGTTGCTTTAACCCCTGTAAGAAAACAACCACCGAACAATATTTTTTTACCACCACCCCACGTTTAAAGTTAAAACGTAAACAACGGCGTTGTTGCATTCGCTTCGGTGCATTTGTCGACCGTCTAGGGTTGAAAGGATTATATGAATTTATAATTATGTATGGCCGTCGGAGTGTAGTCTCTAAACAACTGTTTCTTTTTGTACGGTTAGAAAGAAAGCTTAGGTACATATTTATTCAATAACATAATAAAATTTTTATAAAATATATAAGAAAGCTTGTAAAATTAAAAATTTTATAATTTTTCTTTAATATTTTAATAAATATCATCAGGCCCCGAATTTTTTTTAATATTCTGAAGCTTCCTAAAGTTGGATCTAAACGATTAAACTACGGAGTGACTAACAATGATTGAAATAGTTGATATTCTGATCTTGCTTCTTTGGTTGTCGTTGTCAGTAAACTTAATAAATTTGAATATTTATCGGCTTTTATCATTATCTTAAACAAAAATTCTGTGTGCATTATGTGCGCATATTTGACGTGAAACTTCTTACTAACAGCTATTAAATTGAAGGATTTGAAGGACATGTTTGAAAAAGTGTAGTTTGAAATGTTGAAAAAGTAATAAATCGAAAATTAATAAATAGTTTGATTCACTTTCACAAAATTTGTATTAAAATGTCTGTCCGTCTGAGGACTCCAATCGTGTACCTCTATCTGTATATAATTAAGAAAAATCCTGATGTTTTCGTCCATTTAGAGGCATCGGCATCGGTTCGAAACGTTTAGGGCGTCATCCTGTAGCCCGTCCCCAAATATGCCGAAATCGACCTTTTTTCTTCAATATCAAATCTTTAGTTCCACCCTGATGAAGATGTAAACGAAACGGCGGCGTCGCGTCGTATCCAACTTTACAGGGTGAGCCCGTGTGCACCGTCGCTCATAACCTACCCACCAAATTTGGTCGCGATGGGACATCAAATTTTGTCCTTTCCTACCTCAAAACTAACTGTGTAAGTGACACGTGTCGTACACTGTCAAATTGGCATTCTACCACAAGCCAATCTATGACATATCAAATTTCATTTAAATCGGACGTTTTTTTGCCATTGGTGATGGACTGGTGTACTTGTGAAACACTAATGACACACATCACAAGTACATGCGAGAGGTAGCTGACGCTCTATATAGAGTATGGCACTGTAAGAAGATGATGAGCTTTCATATTGCAAGTCATAGTGCATAGTGAAACGTCGTCAAAATATCATGAAAAGATGGGGCTTTTGGAGGCCCATCTACATGCCGAGTTTCAGCCCCCTTGCCTCTTTACTTTTTGGTTGTCGCTTTTAACTGAGTTTACAATTTTTTTCCATTCCGTTGTTTATTGTGAGCTGCTGCTTCCCTCTCATTCTGCTTGTTAATCCCCTTTAAGTTTTCATGGAAGCAAGTTTCAATTCAAAAATATCATCAAAAAATTAAATATGATTAATTTTTTAAAACTGATTCACTTCGTTTAATACAAAAATTAAATAAATTCGTTTTCTATAATAATGTGAGACTAATCAAAAGGAGATGAGAAATATATGCACTCAAATACTAAAAAAAAAGCAACGGAGCATTTTTTAATCAAGTTTCAAGTGTTACATTTTTTAATTTTAGACCTATTTTCACAATTTTTTAACAAACTGTATATAAATCTATCAATTTCAATTCATAAGGCCCGAGTTACGACGCACCAAAGATCCATCTCAACTGCCTCATTGGCTTACCACTTTTCGTCTCGCATATCACCTCGCTAGCTCGTGTGTCACGGCTTTGAATTTTTACTTCCAGTGCGTGGTAAAGAAGTTTCACTTCAAAAATACAGTTTAAGAGTCTATTAGGTACGCTGTACTGTTCGGGTCGCTTTTAGGGGTCGGATAAAAAAGCTTCAGTGTTTGCCATAAAATAGCAAGCAATTTGTTACAAATCCATATAAATTATATGTCACTGTAATCACAAAACTTCAATCTAATTCCGTATTGTAACGGAATTTTAAATTATGTCTTTATTTTCGCGAAAATTTAGTCCAAAATAAGGAATATTTTGTTAATGTTTGACCATCAAAATCTTAAAAATAAAGTTGTCTAAAAATGTGCTACAATACGGATATAGTATAATCCTTTATATTTCATTTCCTTCTTCATTTCTGTAAAAATATCTATAGCCAGTTTTACATAAAACGTTAAATGCCGAACACTTATTTTGCTACTTTTTCGGACTAGTGAAATGGATTCTTAAGTAGTGATAATTCGCTCGAGTACTCGATTATTGAAATAACCGACATCGAGCGAGTAACGACGAGTTACGAGCGATGAACGCAAGCGATCCTAGAATGAAATAAATTGAAATCCAATTTTAATGTGACATACTCGATAAAAAGCCGAGCGAATTTTCTACATACTTTGCAGGTAGCAAATTTACACGACGTGATCCGTTGTGTATCTGCATGAGTGACAACATTTTACGACCTACATCGACAATGCCTTGAAATAAACTAAATCAAGCAAGCGATCAAGCGAATCGTTCGTCGCTTGCTACTTGTCATTCATCACCGAAAGAATATGTGCTCTGCACGCGCAACGTACTGCTTGGCGTTACGAGTATATACAAGCAACAAGCGACGGGCGAAAAACCGTATTTTTAAATACGAGCGATATTTCGCTCGATTCAATAATCGAGTACTCGATTATTGAAATTAATCGGTTTTTACCATCACTACTCTTAAGAGGATTTATTGGAGTTGTTATAGGTTAATTGATATAATAGACTTTAAAATTAATAAATTGAAATCCGATTTTAATGTGACATACTCGATAAAAAGCCGAGCGAATTTTCTACATACATTGCAGGTAGCAAATTTATACGATATTATCCGTTGCGTGTCTGAGTGACAAAATTTTACGCCCTACATCGACAAAGCCTTGAAATAAACTAAATCAAGCAAGCGATCAAGCGAATCGCTCGTCGCTTGCTACTTGCCATTCATCACCGAAAAAATATGTGCTCTGCGCACACAACGTACTGCTTGGCGTTACGAGTACAAGCAACAAGCGACGGGCAAAATACTATTTTTAAGTACGAGCGATTTTTCGCTCGATTCAACAACGAGTACTCGATTTTTGAAATTAATCCGTTTTCCCATCACAACTCTTAAGAGGATTTATCGGAGTTGTTATAGGTTAATTGGTAATAAAATTGATTTTAAAAATTATTAATCATCAAACGCTCAGGTAGGAACATCGACAGCCGAGCCGGGCGAAACCACCCAACACAAACACCACCCTCCATTTATTTTCTTAGTTCTCGTTGACAAAAGACAGTGGAAACGAGATGAAAAAAGGAAACCGATCCCATACCGCACCGCTGCCACCCTTAGGCCTAATTGAAATGTTGTGGCGGCACCGACAAAGTGTTTGCTAACAAATAAAGTCATTTATTCCCAGTTTTTCAGTGACATTTCCCATTCGCCACGCCAGATAAAAGTACGAGCGGTCTCGGGGCCTAGAAAAACGGAACGGACGGACACCTTCGTCACCGATTCTCGACGCCTTTTGTTCCCGCCACTCGACCCATAATCTCCGCGCCTTTCAAATATGTTCCGCGCATAATTTCCGTAATTCCACGTTGGGAAGGTATTAGGCCCAGATCGGAATGCGTTGCTCGGAGCAAAGGTAGTTTTCTTTCTGTATCCACGTTACTGTTTAAATAAAGCTGTAATAGGTTTATTTTATTTGAATTACAGGAGTCCTTCATTTTACGCGGCATCATATTTATGTCGGTTTGGCTTATGATATGATGACATCTACGCGTTTGTATTTTTGACATCAGTAACGCAGTTCATTTATAAGCGCTTTTATTAATTCCTTATTAGATAGGAAAGGCTTATAAGTATATGGATTCTAACCACTTTATACAGGGTGGCGCACCTCATCCGTCTCGGTTGATAATACGAAAACGGAAGGATGTACAAATCATTTTTATGGGTATATGTGGGAAGGCAATGTGCACAATTTAAAATTATTTTGAAATATACAGGGTGTTTCAGAACTAAGACCCATACCAAAGTTATATTTTAGTATTGAAAATACTTCTGGCCGCGTTTATATGGGACCCATCTTTGAAAAAACGACATGCTAGAAGCAACATGGGTTCAATAACCTGCCTGTCAACACGTACTTAAGTCGATAGAGCCTGCATTGATGAGCGAACAGGGCAAGGCCGTTCAAATCTGGACCGTCGGATAAAGAAAGCGATATTATTTTAAAAGAAAATATATCAAGGCATGGGTTGTTAGGTACAGTTTGGCTATTTTAATCTAACTATTTCCGTAAGGGGCAAATTATACGAGAAAGAGCAGAATCACATAAATAATAAATTTAGACTAATTACCATATCTTTTTATATGATTATTATTTTTTTAATTAACAACTTAGGACAAAGAAAAAGCTTGCATGATTTCCACCGCCAACAGGCGTTAAAACAAATGAATCCAAGGCGTTGTCAAATATTTATTGGGATAAGTTGATAAGTTTT